TAGAAATAATCCTTTAAAATGTTACGAATTGCTTTTAATTGGGGGTGAACTAAGTTGAGGGAGTTGGAGAACAATTGGAGGAGGTGGTTGCTTGTTGTAATGTTTTCCTGATAATTTCAAAACCTGTTTTGTCTCATTACAAAACGCACCACCACCGCTCCAACCTGGTCGAACTAACATTTTACATACGAACATAGGTACATACAAATTAACCAAGGGGCATAACCTGGACATCCAAAATCGATTACTGGCTGGGATAAACGAAATCATTACCCGAGAAAATGATATTTTCGAGGCAGTACTCTTGGCATTGAATTGAGAACAGCTTTCATTTCGTACCAAAAAAAAGACACACAAATACCCACCTCTTCTTTTTAAACCTTAGAAATATTCAAGTGCAAGTTAACTCAATTTCTCGACATTGGAATGTATTCGCGTTACCCTATTGCTTTTCATTAATGCTTTCGTTGAGAAAGGGGTGATTGAGCAACGATGAAAATACGTGTCGTACAAAAGCAACTTGGGTGGTATCGCCTCGACGGCAGCGCCAACTGCGACGTCGAAGATGTTCGTTCTAAGGATGAGATGGGGAATTGTCGACAACACCAGCTTTAAATCTGGCAATAGGAGCAGGGCGGTGCGTGGCCAAGGGAGTGACTGTAGAAATCCGCTGTACTGCAAACTAACAGAAATGCTATAAAAAGTTATAGGATAGCATCCAGTAAAATCGAAGAAGAAACTAAATTGACATGCAATGTGAGATGCTTAGTATTGTAAAAATAATAATTAAAGCAAATAACATTATTGCATAAAATTTGAAAAAAAAAAAAAAAAACAATTGGCAAAGGTCTGTTAACAGGTCGCACAGTGTCAAAATAAAAAAAAATGTTACCAATTTAAATGTCAAAACTTTTCCGTCGAAAAAGTCCGTTTGAAAAACTAGTCTCTATTATGATCAAAATTTACCTTTCCAGTGGTGAACAGATGTAAATAAGTATATACAGCATTCGGGTGGTCCAATTCAAGAGTTTTCGTGACATAAAAATGCAAAATTTTAAATAACCTAGAATCTCCAATTCTTCTGTAGGCATAAAAACTAAAATATTAATACTCCTCCAATATCGGTCTTGGATTTTCAATATCCTTTCCCAAAATATATATGTGTGTATTAATGTCTGTGCAAATGAAGATAAGTCCCATGGTGATAAAAAATAAAACAGAATGGTATGGCCAAACGAAAGAAAGGTAGACGACAGTTGTTGGAAGTGGGTGTATAAATGTGTGCGTTTATGTTAACCCACTTTCCCCTCGTAAATCCGGTTGACTAAAATTTCCGTCTTACATGGGGATATCTACTGGAAAATGTTAGAAATCTAACCGTTAATCTTCCTTTCCAACTCAAAAGTTGGCGGAGACTGTGTTTTTATGTCTTTAAGAGCGTTACACGGCCTTCGATCTTTCAGATGTCTCTCAACAATTACATTTTAATCAAATCTCAATGAGTAGAATTCCAAGAATTATTCCACAATAATCGCCAAATATTGAAGATTTTTAGAAGGGTCGAATCTTTGAGAGTTTATAGCTAGAGCACTATACATCGGCTGCGACAAAAAAAATGTACAGACAATGATATTTACCCACCCCATTGTGGAGATTTGGAGATGTGACGAAATGAGGAAAAATTCCAGTTAAAATTTCCCGAATTAAATCCGATCATTTTAGAGAGTATGAGTTAACAAAATGAGTTTCCCACTAATTTAAATTCAAGATATTCCTTCTATCTTGAATTTAATTTCGTGGTTGGAATATTAATGTCGACATACATGCTCTGTTGCAGAACCTGCCAGATTGATATCATAAAGGAAAATCGCATATTGTAGTAAAAAGTTTTACGTACTTGCAGTTCTGGAACAGAGCTACAAATTTTCATTCAATTTTTAAAGTTAAAAATGAAAAACTTCCTCCAAAAGAAATAGAGGAATTGCAAATATATCAGGCAGTTTTATTGCTTTAATTATACCCCACACAACAAGGTGGTCAGGGTATTATGTATTTGTGCATTTGTTTGGAACAGGGAAAAGGAAACGAGATAGATCCATAGTTCCTTTTGATGATCACATTCTTAGTCGATTTATGCATGTCCCTCCGCCCGTCCGTCTGTCCATGTATTTTTGTAACCAAAGTACAGGTAGCCTTTATTTCCCGATCTAGATGAAATTTTGCTCAAAACATTTGTTTGACACAAGGACGAACCCTATTGTAATTGGAGATAATCGGTCAAAATTTAGATATAGCTCCCACACATATCTTCGCCCGATTTGCCTTTTATTGTGCACCAACCGTGTAATATCAACCCAAATAGTATGGAATTTTGCACATTCTATCAAATTAGGCCTGAAAATCAAATACAGCTCAAATCATGGTAGAAATACCAGGTAGCAACATAGGCGAAAATTACAACAAAGCTACTTTTTTGGAAACTTGATGTGTCAAAGTTGTAGTCAGGGCGAATTGATTTGAAGTACAAAATTTGGGGCAAATTATTTTTCCAATCAAAATATTGAATTAGGAATTTTCAAAATTGTTGTTTTTTCTATTACAAAAGCAAATATTCAAAACTTCCAACATCGATTGAAAGTAATGCTGAAGCCGCTGCATCTTGGTTTGATTATAGCACGTTCAATACAACATTTTTGAAAATCACAGAGACTGGAAATGGAGTGATCGTAGTCTCCAGCGCGCCAACGAAGGACATTTGCGATAATAGATGTCCAATCGTTGTTATCTCTTCAACATCCTAATAATGTTCTTTACAAGAAAATATCCGGAAAATTAGTTTTGGTGCTTTAAAATTAGGTTTTGTGGTGGTTCTGGTGGGGTGTACCCTTTTTTCTTTTACTACATCGTCAGCTTTCTCGCTGTAGTGACATGCTACCTAAAAGGTACTTTAGGGTATATTTACTCCTCAGGCTTACTTAAGATTTGGATCAAAGATTGCAGAAGATACAGGGGGCTGAGTCTACTGTGAGTCCACGCATATTATTTGCATAGCTATGAAATGTATAGCAGACAGGAAGTCTTTTATGTATAGATAACTTTAATACATTCGAACAATTTGAAATAAAAAAATTATCTCAATATTTAATCACACCCCAAAAATTGCCAATGTTTTGTTCCCCAAACCAATCCAATATGCTTTGGAATCATTCACCTTTCACAGTTGAAGCCCTATAGTGTATAACATAGTTGAAAATCCGTACAAATAAGATGATGAAATTCCATGTATCGGTTTATCTCCTATATGAAATTGATTCCCTGTTTCACTTATTTCAAATATCCACGAATTTCAGATCTCCATATTACCTATGCCTACCATATGTTGAATATACACTTTTTCCCTCATACTCTATAAAAACGTAAAATCTCGATTTTCTATCAATAGCATTGTTAAAGTTTGAAATCATGCTACAATTTTCTTATGTGTAAATGAAGGCGAATTCAAATTACAACAATTTTTTGACATATCAAATAGATACCAGCTGGCCTGAAAGGGTTACCTTGTAATTCTACCATGGCTCAAATGGAATGAAATTTGGCACTTACGTCTAAATTGAGTCTAGAAACAAATATGTCAAATTTGGTGAACATCGGTTTAGATATAGATATAGCAAGCCCGTATTGAAAAGCCACAAAATTTAGTAGAAATCGATTCAGAGGAGGACATTCCTCTAATATATTAGTTTCTTTGGACTTTAAATTACAACTTTAACCATAGCTGGTATGATTTAATTCTCATTCTCATAGTTGGTATGACTTGTTTTAACAATACGCCATTTTACCCGTCGGATAGAAATAAACATGGCTCCACTAGAGGGTAAATGAAAGAAATTTAGCAAATTTTATGAAAGAAATACATTTTTATTAAATTAAATTGGCTTATATTCACTACGATGTATACATAATACTTTTGGACTTTGATCGAAGATCGTTTTCATGGCAAACTCAAATGTGAGTTCACATCCAAAAAAAACAGCAAAACTTTTTAAATTTACAAAGCAAGAACTGCAAAACTATTGTATTCTTGTAGATTATGGGACAGAGCAATTAATTATTTCTTCGTGCAGATTCTTATTCCAAGTTTTATATCGGATTGTGTAATATCTCACATTCAACTTCTTATTTTTACAGCTGTACCTTTCATTCTAATATCAATGCATAAGACAAATTACAGGTTTTCCAAAAATATTCGCAGAAAAATAACTTGAAAATCGAGATTCATTGAATATGACAATTTTTAAAAAAAAGTTTTGGTCCGTATGGCGATTGAAAATCTTTAAAAAGCTAAGGTGTCCTCAAAATCGTACGTATGAATTTTCCCATTTTTCTAATTTCCCATTTTTTTAAAGGAGAGTGATGATCATTTTCCAAACGTGTTAAAACCACGTTAAATGTTTCAAATTATACGAAATGGACTGTCGGAATAATAAAGAAATGCAGTTATTTTTTATATATTTTTCCATCCTTACTGCATAATTTTCTATTCATTTACTTGGACAAATACAGGCCGACATCGTCGCATTAAATCGCCGAAATTTTGCTGCACATGCACATCGAAAAGCCACACCTTCAAATCAATTTCAATGGCAAAGGGATGTCGAGAAATAAGTATTGAAAAAAATTAAATTTGAACCGCGTTACTGTACTATGTCTTGATGAATTATAAATTTATAAAAAAACAATTAAAATATTAAACTGAATCTTATAAATGTTGCTTCGATTTCACATTCTTTAACTGATTAGGGTTTTTGCCATTATGCCTTATGCTAAGCTATAAGTACAAAGGGAAAATGTGCATCGGTTTCAAGTGACGTATTCAAAGAAATAATCAGAACTTAGACAAGGCTTCAGACAACGCAATATTTCTGTTTTCCTTTGTTATAATCACATGCCACTTTGTCCATTCCTGCAGCCACTTGTTGAATAAAATACCATAACCATCGTTCTAGTTAACATAAATACAAACTTTATTGTGACAAACGTAATTGGTGTTTCTTGATTCGTTGTTTTCAATGATGACCTTGGATGTAGTGGGGGAAAACTTAAAGCCTAATTTAGTACTGAAAACATATTTATACTAAAACTAAATAAAAAAAAATAAACTAATTAATAAACAGAGAAGTACATCGTAATGAGAATAATATAAAGTGGGACAACTCCGACAACATCAGTAATTGGAGAAATGATGGTTGGATGGTGGATCAAACAAAATGTTTCATTTCATATTAATTAATTAATAATAATCAATTATTGTTCTAAAGAATATGTAGTTTTGTTTTTTTTTCTGCTGTGGATTATTATTTGCAAATTTATCAGTCTTTGTGTTATTATTTTTTTCTGTTGCAGTTTTGCTTTGTTGTTGTTCCATGGCTAAACAAATTTCTATTATTTTTCTATTGATTGCAGGAGTGCGGCTGTTATTGGCTAACAAGAAAGGATAATAAAAAGCGAGGACTTCTTGGGCAAACTAAAGACACATTTTGAAAATTGTTGTCACTTTTTTGCTGATACTTTTTATAATGATATTGTTCTCGTGTGCTTCCACTTATTTCTTCATATTCAATTAAATAAATTATTCGTAAATTTTACGCTATAGTTATGATTCTTATTTACAAGACTACAAAAAATATACATGATATCGATTTCGATTCAGAAATAACAAGAATGTCTAGATTTTGCAACAAAACATAAGAGGGACTGACACGGTTGTCACGTACATACACATTTCCCGAAATTGAATTGAAAAATGTAGAACTTTTCTGCAATCTTGCAGTTATAAATTGCACATTGTTCAAATGTTGGGAATTTCGGGGCAGTGATAGTCACATATTCTTTTCATATAAATCTTTTAGGGCTCATTTTGGAACGCTGTGGCGCATTTCTTTACTGCATTCCTAAAGTCTACATTTCTATATGAAAATATATATATGTAAGTATGTCTGTGACTGTTTTAAAGGTCCGCTATATATCTTTAAATTGTACAGTAAATCTTTTCTTAAATTAAATATAAATCGAAATAAACCTATAGACACACTCTTATTGCCTGTCTTTATTACATAAACATCGAGCCTTGCTGCAATCATGTAGGTAACGACGTCGGCTGTTTTGGTGCAATGCGATCGGGCATTCTCAATTGTTCCGATTTTGGTTGCTTAACTTCTGGAATCATTACTTTCGCTGAAGCTTTGCTCACTCGACTCACGCCTGCTACCCATCGGCTTCGGTTTGTATTCCGTTATGAAAACTGTCACTGAATTCACCGTGACCTCTCTGGTTTGGGCTGTGGACCGATCTACATTTTTCAAACGGGCTGGATACTTTTTATGTTTATGTTTGTCGTGGCCAGAACTGTGACGTGAACCTGAGGCGGACTTGTTGCCATTCGGCATGGTTCCAGATGCACCGGGAAGTGTGGCAGCTTGTTGAGCAACGAGTGCAGAATTAAGGCGTGGTTTGCGTGTCGAAGTACCTGGAAAACGGTCGAAGGCCACTAATTATAGTATTATTTATTCGATGTTTAACCAAAAAATAGCAAAAATTAAAAAGAGCATGCAAAAATGTTTTGTGTCTTTTAAAATGCGTTCAAAATGATCGATGTTGTATTCTTTCAGAACCCACTCTGACTACTGGCAAATATGTGGAAAGGTTACAGGCAAGGAATTTATACCTAATAAATTATTTTCAATTAACGAACACGTTGGGTTTATATCCTTAGAAGCTTGACTTTTAAAACCTTAATCACAGACAGACATTTTTATCCTGAAAATCCATATTACCCCTGGTTTGGGATACGAACTTCCATAAAACGTTTTAAATAATGAGACAACTATTTCTGAACAGACTAGCCGATATTTGTGCACAGATTAGGAAATTTGTTTTTTTTAGACTCCCAATACGCTACCAAAAGAATACTGGTTGCTAAAGAGGAAGCAATTTTGAAACCCCGTATCGCAGAAGGAAAAAATTCCCAAATTAACATCTTACTTTTGTTGAGATAATACCAAAACGGCCTACGTGTGGTTTGAACTTCCAACAGCAAATTAGAAAGATCTAATGTTCTTCCATTCACTCAAAGTAATCCGTCTTTAAAATTTTGTTATTTGGCAAGTAAATTGGGAGAATAGAAATTATTTAGTAAGCCCCATCAGTAAGAGACACTGTTCGTTGGTTCAAACATTTTGTAGTGTTTCACATACAAAAACAAACAGAAATACAGCGAGCACACAAACGCGCACAATTGAGGAAGGGATGGGGATGTGCATATGTATGTATGTACATCGATTTTGTTGTTGAGAATTATATTTACGTTTAAAGAATAATATCAACAAAGGGCCTTGGTCCAAGAAGTTTATCGCAAATGAAAAGACGCGTGATTTGAACATATCCAGCGAACACAAAACCTATTATGCATGTAGGATCTTTGGAGGTCACTAACCTTTGCGTACGTCACACATACGGCATTTAAATGCTTCAGCAGAGTTTCTGTACGTGCAAACACTGCAGTCCCAGAAATTTTCTTCAATGACTTTCGATTGTCGCTTTCGTCTCACTGGCGACTTCTTGTGATCCATAATAGAGTGTCTTCGTAGTCACAAATCTTCTGCTGGATTCGATGCAATCCGTTGCTATTCCGCTTTTGCTGCCGTGTTTAGATGGATTTGTTAGATACCGACTGGCATTAACTGTTGTCTGTTTTGTGCCAAACACAGCACTCTACGACTTGTTTGTCGTAGAGTGATATCTCCTTGAAACAGAATTAAGCGTTTTCCGATAAATCCAAGAAGAAGTATTGTAAGTATTCAACACCGACGCATTTGAAAAATTGCATGGGCCAAAATTATTTATGAACGATTCTCTGCAGTTTTTTTTTCTGTAACTTTCAACTTGACAAACTGACACTGAAGACAGCGATGGCAAATGGCAAAACGATTAAAAGAAACAATCGATAACAATTTTATAAAATCGATAGATGCAAGCCAAAACGAAAGGCGCACGCAGCAATTAAAACTTGTTGGAAGTTATGCTATGTTCACACAGGCAGTTTAACATGTAAATAAAATTGAACAAAATTTAACGAGTAACATTATACGATAGTTGTTTTTTAACTGTTGAGACAAACTAATCGAAGTGACAATTGTTGTAGCATAAAATTAGCTCATATATGATATAATAAATTGGGACATTTTTATTATTTGAAAAAAGAAAATTTTTTTAAGTATTAAGAAGGTAGACTCAAACAATCTTATCTTCTCAACATCTCATCGTCAAAATGTTGTTTCATAAATCAATACAATATTTGTCGAGGACCTTTAACTGTCGTTGTGGTAAATTTATTCCTCTTAATTTTGCAAAAAAAAAAAAGTTTATTTAATATATTTTTTGATAATTACTTGTTCTATAAGTAAAACCTTGCATATTTTAAATTATAATAATTAAAAAACAGACTTTTTCATGTTAACAGGTACTTTTATTTATCGCAATAGAAGAGAGCATTTCAACAAATGCTGAAGAGAGGGTAACATTTGCATCACCTAGTTAGTTAAGGGTTATGTTTACTATGCATCAGCCAAAGAGGAACAGTAATTCAATCAGTTTATAACTAACTATGTAAAAATGTTTACAAGGATAACCGATTTTTGTTGTTGAGATCAGTTTATTAGAAGTAATGAGGAAAAGAAATGTGTATGTACATATAATGGCGTATGACACAAATTTCAAAGTTGTAGACATTTGCATAAACATTAAGTGTCCTCACAGTTAATTACAATGTTGATTTGAGTGTTTATATAAATTAACTATTAACACCCCTTCTTAATATTACAAATATTATTTAAAATTAATTTATATAAGCTCAAAAGATATGTATGTATATAAAAATAACGAATTAATCTAAATTACATAATCCAATCAGTATTCGAAATTTACATATGTTAACCTTCTGTAAAGGCTTGGTTAGAATGTCTGCTAACATAGACTTTGTTGGACAATAATTAAATAATACGCTATTCGATCTATACAAGTCGCGAACAAAGTAAAACTTAACATCTATATGCTTGCTTCTAGGGCTTATTTTCTCATCTTGAAGTATCTTGAGGCAACTCTGGTTGTCTTCAAAAATGACCGGACTGGATATGTTGATTTCAAATTCCTTCATTAATTGCATAATCCATAAGAGTTCCTGAGATGCTTCAGCAAGAGCCACATATTCTGCCTCGGTAGATGATAAAGTTACATTTGCTTGCTTTCGACTAGCATAACTGATGACAGCATCACCAAGCTTAAAAATGAACCCACTTGTAGATTTTCGGTCATTGATGTCGCCTGCCCAATCAGCATCAGCAAAGCCGTTCAACTCCAATTCACTCTTAGATCCAACGAGCAATTTCAAGTCTTTAGTCCCTTTTAGATATTTTAGAACCCTTTTGACTTCAGTCCAATCTCTTTCATTCGGGCAAGTAATTTTCCGAGATAATATTGAAACGGCAAATGCAATATCTGGACGTGTATTGTTAGAGATATACAGCAGTGATCCGATAGCCTTCCGGTATAAGATATTGTTTTCAAGCAAATTATTCGTAGTTTCCTTCAAATATCCAGGATCCATGGGTATTGAAGAAATCTTAACATCTTGAAGATCAAACTCATTTAATATTTTTTCAATGTAACGTTCTTGTGACAAATAATATAAACCATTATTGTAGCTCACTTCTATCCCCAAATAGAGTCTTAAATCACCCAATTCCGTTATTGCAAAGTGGGATTTCAGAATACGTAAAACATCTTCAATTTGCTCATCAGTCTTAGATGCAACAATAATGTCATCGACGTAAATCAGAACGTATGTGATTGAGTTCGTATCACTTTTAACATATAAACAGGGTTCAGCCTTTCCCCTTCTGAATCCAGAATCAATTAGGATTTTGTTGATACGAAGATTCCAACATCTTGCCGACTGTTTCAGCCCATAGAGGCTTCGGTTTAATTTACAAACATAATTTTCTTTTCCAGGTATAATAAAACCTTCAGGTTGTTTCAAATATATATCGGTGTCCAAATCACCATAAAGAAACGCCGTTTTGACGTCAACGTGACGAACTTTCATATTTCTATAGCTTGCGATGGCCAACAGGCTTCTAAAAGTAGCTTGCTTTACAACTGGAGCAAAAACTTCGTCGTAGTTTTCGCCGTATTTTTGGGAAAATCCCTTTGCGACCAGTCTAGCTCTGTACTCCTTCTCACCATTAAATTTATGTTTAACTTTGAAGACCCATTTACAGCCGACCAAGTTGCCATCACGTGGCAACTCCACCAAGTCCCACGTTTTGTTTTCATGCAATGCCCTCATCTCCTCTTCCATAGCCATCAACCATCTCTTGCCGTCCGATCTGGACATAGCCTCTCCAAAATTTGTTGGATCATCTTCAACGCAAATTTTGTACCCATACTTTTTAGGCGGTATACCCTTGTTTGATCTTGAAGAAGTTCGAGGAGTATCATCAGGATTAATTGTTACGTCATTATTTAAAATTTCCTCGTCAGAAGACGATGAAAATTCCCCAGCTGATTCAAAGCCACAAAATTCTTCTGTGCTTATCGAATTATTATCTTCTTCTTCATGAGCAAGAGGCGAAACATTAGTAGAATTGATTGTAGAGACAGATATTACCATATTTTCGTCAGAATTGTTATCTTTCTTCGGAACATCAAGAAAATCGTTTGATTCCAAAAACTTCACGTTACGGCTTATTATGATGTTATTGGTATCAGTATTTAGCAAACGAAATGCTTTGCTCTCCTCAGAATATCCAACCAGAATACATTTGACAGCCACATCGTCCAACTTTTTGCGTTTTTGTTTTTCAACATGGACGTAAGCAGCGGAACCAAAAATACGAATATGGCTCAAATTTGGAGGCCTGCCAAACCATAACTCAAAAGGCGTTTTATTTACAGAAACTGATGAAAGTCGATTTTGAATATAGTTCGCATTGTTGACAGCCTCAGCCCAGAATTTGATATGAATATTCGCGTCGTATAGCATGCACCTGGCCATCTCCATTAAGCTCCGGTTCTTCCTCTCTGCAACTCCATTCTGCTCAGGAGTATAGGGGGCAGTGAGCTGGTGAATTATACCCTTATTTTTGAAAAACTTCTGCATCTTTTTATTTAAAAACTCTCCACCACGATCAGTTCTAAGAATTTTTAGACGTTTTCCTAATTGGTTCTCATTTTGTTCAATAAATTCTTTAATTTTGTCGTAGGCCAAATCCTTTGATGCAATGAAAAATATTGTACAATAACGGCTGTGATCATCAATCAGAGTTAAAAAATAACGATTTCCACCAGGGGTTGTATTTTGCATGGGGCCGCATAAGTCGCAATGTACCAAATCTAAAATTTCATCCGATCTAGATTCCGATGCCTTTGGAAAGGGTGCTCGTGTAAGCTTTGCTCTCAAGCAAACCTCACAATCAAACAAACAAGCACATTTCTTTATGCTCACACCTCGAATAAGCTCTTTAGTAACGGTTGAGCTAATTGCTTGATGACTTCTGTGGCCAAAACGACGATGCCAAATATGAATACAGTCACTCTTACATTTCGATATCATATTTGCTTTGTAAGACTGATTCAGCACAAACAAATTGTTCCTTAAAGTAGCTTTCGCAAGAACATGTCCGCCCAGAGAAATTGAACAACCATTTCTGTCAAAAAACACCTTAAAACCTTCAGCAGTTAGTTTCCGAACTGACAGTAAACTCCCGTCCAGCTCTGGTATGAATAGTACATTTTGAACACGAATTTCCTTGCCTTCACAAAATATCTTGCAGTCACCACAACCAGTCACCTTCAACATTGTACCATCTGCCAAATACACCATTTCATCCACTTGCTTATTAATTTTGTCAAAATATGTCTCCTCACTACACATATGACAAGTTGCAGCAGAATCAATAAACCAATCGCCATTTGCTTTTACATTTGTGATACCAAAACAAACATTTTTATTGCCATCTTTAACAATATTGGCCCGATTGTCGTTTGGCTTTTGTTGTTTTCGCAGATTTTTGTTTGTACAATCCTTTTTCATATGGCCCGGCTTTCCACATGAAAAACATTTTGGCACAAACTTTTTCTTCTGCACTTTAAAAGCAGCCTCAGTTTGATGTTCACCTGACATCTTTCTCCTGAACTCCTGTAGCAACTTCTCCTTCACCAAATCGAGCGTCAGATCTTCCTCCGAACGCATTTCTAATGATGAAATTAGGTGGTTGTAATCATCCGGCAAAGTGCCCAGCAAAAATGCAACAGCTTTGTGTTCTTCCATCTTCTCACCCAAATCACGCAAACGGTCCACAATTGATAAAAATTCATGAATGTGGTCTTCCATACTTTGACCACTAACCAGCCTCTTCGACGACATTTGGCGAAGCAGACTAACTTTGTTGGTTATGTTTGACTTCTCGTGATGCTTCTTCAAGGCGTCCCAGAAAGCTTTCGCCGTCTTCAGTTGCTTTATGAGTATTTTCTGTGATTCCTCCACAGCCAACCCAATAGCAGCCCTTGCCTTCCCATCACGAATCAACCACTTTTCATCCGGCTCCTCAGGCAGATTACCAACAACAACATCCCACAATTCCCTCTCCAGCAGCAGCAACTCCATGTTAAATTTCCAGACATGGTAATTAGTATTTGACAATTTGGGAAATAATGTGTACGATGCAGCCATGATTTTATCAATTTACTTCCAATAAAAAAAAAAAAAACGATTTTAATTACGCGAATGTAGGCCCATAACCTGTTGTTGAGATCAGTTTATTAGAAGTAATGAGGAAAAGAAATGTGTATGTACATATAATGGCGTATGACACAAATTTCAAAGTTGTAGACATTTGCATAAACATTAAGTGTCCTCACAGTTAATTACAATGTTGATTTGAGTGTTTATATAAATTAACTATTAACAATTTTCCCTTCGTGATATCGAAAAAAAATTGCAAAACTAGTAGTCTTGCTGTTTTTGGAACAACAACTGCTAT